GACATTTAAAAAGCCTTAATAAACTTTGAACAGAGATGATGGAAAAAGAAAATGAAGGCTTTCTCCCCTCTCTCAAGTTTTTGTCTTTGTTTCTCTTGAAAGTGTTTATTGGAGCCCCTAAGGTGGTGCTAGGACTTTGGTTAAAATTAAGTCTTAAGGACATATTATGTAACTTCTTGTCCATAGGAGAACAGTAAGAAAATATTAAGCCTAATCTTCATTTGAATAACATGAAAATAAGTAAAAAGCCCCCAAACAGCAGAGCTGAAAAGAAGAAATCCAAAACTGCTGCAAGGTAGGCAAGGTCACTTAGAATTCAGAGCTGGAAAACACTTAACTAGTCCAACTCCCTCATTTTACAGATGAGGTAACTGAGGCCCAGAGAATGTAAATGACTTGCCCAAGGTCATACATCAAATTCATGGCAGAGCACAAACTAGAGTGCAACCGTCTGGTCCAGCCCAGAGCCGTTAGTTTCAAGTAGAACAAGAACACTGGCTCTGGACTGACTGAGAAAGCATCCTAAATAAATTGTGTGAAAAGTATCCACACTAATAGAAATGATTGTCTTCACCAGTTTTCTCCTCAGTCCTTTCTGCATTGAAAAAGGGAAAGAAGCTTCATCCACTCATTCCAGCCTGACGTGAAAATCCCTGAAAAAACATCAGCAATTACTTTAGCTACTCCTTGGGGCAGGACATCAGACCCTCAAATTCTCATAAAGGCACCTAGAGGTCAAAAAGATCTGGAGAAAAAGGTCAGAAGGTAGGGCTAAGAAGGGGACACCAAAACAAAACAAAAGTAACTCTCATTTTCCAAGGTAGGCTTGGTTTTGTTTGTGTTACTATTTGTTTGCTGGTGTCCTCTAGACAACAGTACTGTCTCTGTCTACTGATGCTAATTTTACCATTATAACCCCAGTTTTCACATGAGCAGCATTCAAGTGGAAGCAATAAAGCCTTTCAAAAACCTTTCAAAACATTACTCTTAAGGAGGAAAATATGAATATGACTCAAGTCTCTCTATCTCAACTACCTGAAACTCAAGCAAGATTCAGGAAGCAATCAAATCAATGTCAAATGCCAACACACAGAAGTCCTTTTCAACACATTACAGGAGACCATTTGGGTCCTGTCCCAGACTGAACTTGCATTTTAAAGAAAAGCCTACAAAGTCTGATTTTCTAGTTTCCTTGCCCAAGCAGTTGGAAATAATGAATCAGAAAGGGAAGAACCACCACACAGGAAGTGATAACTATGAGAAAGGAAGAAAACTGAGAGAGGAGAGTGAGGTTAAATTAAATAAATAAAAATTCAGGGCCAGCAGGTGACATGCAGGTTAAGGTGCTGATTGGCCAACCTCAGTTTGAATCCCAACTTGGCAGCTTGAAAATCATGCCAGGCACATGTGTGTACATGCCAAAAATCCTAAGAGAAGAATGGAGAAGGGGTTGTGGCCTAGCTATTCCCTTCATAAGAGGGTGATTTCTCACCTTCCCTCTCTCTGTTGCTCTCCTCTCCAGCAAGTGCATGCATCCTACGGCAAAAATCTAAAAAAAACCAAAAAACAAAAAAAAACCAAGAACAAAACCAAAAAAGACACAACCAAAAATTCAAAGCCACTGCAATTTGGGGCAACTGAGTAAAGATAAAAACAATCCTGCTTGTCTTAGAAGCTCCTGAAGTCCACTTAAGACAGCTAATCACAAAATGTCATATCCAGAATATTCTGATATACACATTACATAATTCTCATAAAAAAAAAAAGGCTAAAATAAGTTTCACTGCTGAAATAAGGCAAGTGTGGATTACATGGAAAAGTTCACTCTGTAGTGATAGCACATAAACAAGATAACCTAGCAGCACTGGGACAAGTACCAGGGAGAAGGCCGGTCAGAGGATGCTTCTACAAATAAGGCCGCTCCTGACTTTTTACATCCTTCCTGATATATTAGGAGAAAAGACATTACCTAGTTGTCAGGAAAAAACTGGAAAGGCTGGGAACCAGCAGTTAGCATAATGGCTATGTCGCTGGACTCCCACGTAGTCGACCGCGGTTCGTGTCCCGGACCCGGTGGCTTAAAACTCACGCCGGGCGCGTGTGCGTGCGTGCCCAAGATCCCGAGAGGAGAATGGAGGAGAAGGGATTGCGGCGTGACCATCCCCCCTGGGGGGTGATTTCTCGCTTTCTGTCTCTATGTCTCTCTCTGCCTGTCTGGCGAGCGCACGCGCCCTACAGTGAAAATCTCTCCAAAAAAAAAAAAACTGGAAAGGCTTACACAAGATTCCCAAGGCCGCGTCCCTAAAATCTTGCAGAGAAGAATTTCAGAGATTATTTATAGGGAGAGTCAGCACGTGGCATGGTGGTTAAGGTGCTGGACACCCACATGGTCAACTGCAGTTTGAGTCCCAGATCTAGAGGCTTGAAAATCACCCCAGATGCATGTAAGTGCGCATGCCCCAAGTTCCAGAAGAACAGAGGAGACTGCAACACTGCCATCCCCCTTAGGGGTTGATTTCTCACTTAGTCTCTGTCACTACCTCTGTCTCTCTGGTGAGCGTATGCACCCTATGGTAAAGATCTTACAAAAAAAAGAGAGATTATTTATAGGGCTGGCTCCATGTCTCAGGGGTCAAGGCAGATGGATGCCACAGGGCCAACCATGTGGTTCAAGTCCTGGACCCAACAGCTTGAAAAAGACCTGGGAGTGCATGTATGCATGCCCAAAATCCAAGAGGATGGAGCAAAGGGAACTATGGTGTGACTATGCCCCACTGTGTGGTGTTTTCTCCTCTCCCTCTCTGGCTAGTGCACACACTCTCTGGCAGGGGGAAAAAAAAAAGAGAGACAGGTATTTGGAACAAAAAGGGTTCTGCTTTTAGGAAAGAAAGAAAAAAAAAGGCATGTATTCATGCTAAGTGTTCTCTGCTAGTCTCAGCCAAGCCCTGCTTACAAAAGAGTTGTTATCTGACTTTATAAATAATTTGCTTTCATATACATCTACCTCAGTAACCTAAACTCAACATTTTCCCAATCTACCAGCAAGTAAAATGACAGCGAGTAAGGGTACAAACTACAGAAACTATCAACAAAAGGAACTCTGCCCTACTTAGAAAACGAAATTGTTTCTGCCAAAAGACTCTCCAAAAAAGGGTCTGAACTAATCTGACTTTGCATAAAAGTTAGTGATAACTGTATTTTTAAGAATTATTTATTTAATTTTATTTATTCATTCAATCATTTTCATTTGACCAGAGAAAGACAGACACACAGAGAGAAGGAAAGTGAGAAAGCAAGCTACCAGATCCGGGACTCGAACTGTGGTTAGCCATGTGGGAGTGTCCAGCACCTTAATCACCATGTCACCTGCTGGCCTGAAAAGCTAATGATAACTGTTAACCAGTTACCACCAATCAGGTACATTGCACCTTTTATTCTTTAATCTCCATGGGTACTTAAAGGAGCATTACAGAAAAATGTAAAATCTTCCTTCCTCATATGGCCAGTCCAAAATGACACCTGCAACTCACCTTCCTACAGTTAGCATTAAACTTAAAATAATGAGAAATTTACCGTCTGGAAGACCAGACATTTTATTTTGCTTTCAGAGCTACACCACACTCTTTGC